TTGAGATGGGAGCCATCTCTGTGGGCCCGCTGTGAATAATGTGTGGTAAATTTTTTTGATCCTTTATCATTGGACATGGGGTTGTCAACTGAAACCAAAGTTTTTGACCTTTGACCTAGGAAGTTGTACATAAATTATGACACACCCTCTGGTGTTGGTTAATATACATGTCAAGTATAAACTTTGAAATCATAACGGTTCTCAAGATATAGAGCGGACACGATCTTTACCATAGGACATGGGGTTGTCAACTAAAACCAAAGTTTTTGACCTTGACCTTTGACCTAGGAAGTTGTACATACATCATGACACACCCTCTGGTGTTGATTAATATACATGTCAAGTATACACTTTGAAATCATAACGGTTCTCTAGATATAGAGTGGAAACAATTTGTTACGGACGGACGCACGGACAGACGGATGGACAGACTGATCACTATAGGGCGTCTGCCATTCGGTGGGGCCCTAATTACCTGATATCAAACTTTACAAGAAATCAGAACTTTAATGTAAACAAATCAAATTTAGTAAAGTAGAAAAAGTCACCCAAGTTACTTTTGCCAGGATACTGATCCACTAAAGTACATCTGTGAGCAAGTTAAATGATCCTGCATTAAACAGTACCAAAGAAATCAACTTTCATGTAAAAATAAACCAAAGTTGCTAGAGAAGGACAAGAAGGTCATACTGTCCTACTTGCAAAATGATCCTGCATTAAACAGTACCAAAGAAATCAACTTTCATGTAAAAATAAACCAAAGTTGCTAGAGAAGGACAAGAAGGTCATACTGTCCTACTTGCAAAATAGACCTACTTACTGAAATTTACTTGCATACATATTAAAACATGGTACAGGAGATCTGAATATTGATGAACAAATGTGAAAAATAGGTAAAATTGACCTACTTTGGCCAGTATGTAAGTATAAATGATGCATCATTTCATATTATCCAAGACATGAACTATAAGTAAATTTGCGTCACCATAAGTGGAGCATAATGAGGAGGTAAAACTTCCCTTGTTCTGTGTGGGTGCTGATCGACTCCCTTGAGTTCACCTGTATGCAAGTTAACATAATCTTGCAATATGAGAGAAAACTTCATATATGGTCATTGCAGTCATACAAATATAGATTCCACAACTACAACAAGTGTGTTACGATATTTCTCCACTAGAGACAGTTAAAGTTTTAATATTTAAAGCGCGAGGCTTGCTGAGCTTTTTAAATAATTAAAATTCAACTGTCGAGAGTGGAGAAATATCGTAATACACGAATTATAGTGGTGGAATCTGTTTCTCTTATGATTTTTATCCTTCCTTTTCAAAGATTTTGGAGAAAGTTGTGTACTTTTTATGTGACATCATCAGACATGGTCGCCTTTTTTCATGACGTCACAATAAGAAAAATTCAGAAGAAACCAAGAAAATTTAACGTCACAATTAAATTTCGACCAATCATTTGCCGAGAACAGATGTTTCACTAGTGAGGAGAAATATTTTTCTCACACTGACCAAGAAATGTGAAAAAAGCGCAAAAATTAGAGAAGCATGGAATAAAGGTAAAGTTTACCTATCTTTGACATGGATCACAACTACATTAAAAGACATTAAATTACTTCTTCAAACAAAGTAAGTTGATTCTCATATTTTTTTTTCTTAGATATGGGTATGGGCATGGACACTGATGATACCCCATTTGACCCCTGGACATGGATGGTACCCCATTTGACCCCCTCATCTATATTTAGACAAACTAAAAATAAATTCCACAAGAATAACCTGATTTTTTGTTTTTTCCTGATTAAATTAATACTTAACTTATCAAACCTTCCTTCTATTTTACAGTTAACATAAATTTCACTTTTTTTATCTCTCCACTAAGAAAACTTTATTTTCCTCTAATGAATAAAGATGGTTCATACCTATATTTCTTCCTACTATTATCTGACTAGTTGTCAATTCAACCAAAATTCATAGTTTTTGTCAAAGTTTTATAAAAGATAATATAGAAAATAATTATTTTTCCTTAGATTTGTAATAAGATATGGGACTTAGTAAAAGGATAAGTTATCTTCACATTCAAAAGCAATGCATCATATTTAATCAAATGAAATCTTTTTCATCATTGCTTTGAACTGAACACCTATCAATAAATCAGACCTTTTTTCATTTTAATATTACAATGAAAGGATTATTCAATTTTATAACAATGTAAAAAAATCCACTTCATATCATTAAAAAAACCTTTTACAACATACATATCAATTTCATTTTATGCAAAGGTTGCATATTTTTCACAGATCAAATCTTTTCAGATGTACTGCATATTAGTCAGATCAAATCTTTCATATGTTACCACCCACCTTGTAAACTTTTATGAGAGATAAATATTGATCAGTTAATACCCATGCAACAGCATTTAAAATTGAGAGTTGTATGTTCTAGGTTTATGTTTGATCTTTAACTTCTTTTTTATCTATTTTTTTTTAAAAGGGGGAGGGTGTGTGCCTAATTCACTTTTGAAACATTTACTTCTCTCAAAATCATGTTAGTTTTGCTTTAAAGAAAAATTCATTATGTTGGTATGTCTACTTTATAAATTATCAATATTTCTTCTTTTTTTTAACATTATTTTGTTTATTTCTTTATTGCACCTTTGCTGTAACAATCAATTCTATTTTTACTTCAAGTTTCTCCCAAACTGTCCAATCATATTACATTTCCCTCAGAAAAACATATAATCTACTAGCATAAATTTTATTTTGACATTCATGGAAAACAATATGCTTTTCCATTTGGGAACAAATTTAAATATTTACCAAAGTTTGAATTTTATCAAACTTTAATACATCTTACAACATACAATTAATATAATGTCAAAGAGAAAAATAAAATTCATAAAGTTTGAGATATATATTTACAACAAAAGAATTTAACAGTTCTTCTGTCTTATATGTCAGAGAGGTATAACAAAAAAGCTATGTCATAACAGTTCAATTTTAGTATTTGATGTTTCACTAAAAAAATCCATTATTCATTGATTGTCATGTTACCTACCACATCCTTCTACAGACAAACAAAGCCAAAACTTATTATGGTATTTATTGTCTTCCCTAAAATGGTAGATATATTCTTCAGTGAGATAGACAATGACAAGTCTTAAGTTCAAAAATAAAGATATCATCTGCCCTCGAAACAGGGTATTTCAAAAAAACTATTTTTTTTATTGTATCCCCATTAACTTAACAATAGTTGACACAATAAAATGTTTCTCTTGCTGTAATATAAGAATTATTTTTAAATGTCTATAATATCTCAAACTGACATCAACTCACTGTTCAAATGTTCACTGTGAAAATCTGATAAGTACACATGATCATATATGTAGTTTATTCTTTTGCAATATATTTTCAACCTATCATATATCAACTATACACTCAATCTAAAAACTTAAATGACCACTGGAAATGAGTTAAAGGCAAAATTAAATCTTTCAAACTGATATTTAAACTCCTAACTAAATAATATACATTTGTACAGAGTATCATTGAAGTTTCATGTATAGATTCTGAGAAACAAACCTGATCAATCGAGAATGAAAATGAGGTCAAGGTGACAATAATTAATTGATTTGTCTCACCATGAACAATCTCCTGTCATACTAAGTGAAAGTGGGGTTATTTGTAAATTGTTAAGACTGTTGCTGTTGGAAAAGTTTAGTCTAGGTTAGTCTATGAAAAAGTATATATAATGAAATTTAGAGTGAGGGGCTTGCCCTGAGCTCTTAATTTCATAGTATATACTTTTTCATAGACTATCCAATTTAGCACATATTTACAACTCCAGTAATCTTTTAATTGGTCTATTGATAGTTTATTTGGCTGACTACTTGTATCACAGGTGTTTGTAAAACAGAGCTCATTAACGAAGTTTTGTAAATCTACTCACTAGTATCATCGTAAAATATGTAATTTCAAAAGGCCCTTGACTCCAGAATGACAAGATGGTAGCTGCTGGTGTAAGTATGTTTATTGATATAAAGCGGTGTTTTACTATACATGTACTTCTTTACATGGTAAGATGACAAAATAAATTGACCAAAAGCAGGCAATAATTAAATTGCAGTGGAAGCTTTACATGTCTTGAAATAATTCTTCAATTTCACAGTGAAACTCAAGCTATAATAAATTTAAAACATATAGATAGTATGCAGTGGTGGATCCAGGGGGTTGGGTGGGGTGGGGGTCTGGGGGTTGGAAAACCCCCTTTTTTGGACAATCAATGCTTTTGAGTGGGGACATATGGTTGGAACCCCCTTTTAAAAATGGCTGGATCTGACCCTGGTATGTCCCCATAGATAGTTTAGCAGATAGTCATTAAAAAGCAAATACCAATAGATCAAAGATACTAGGGTTTATGTTTTTTTTTTTTTTCAAAGTAAAAACTCAAAGATTTATCCGAACATATATATATATATATATATATATATATAGGTCGCACATTCTCTTCAGACATTATCACGGTTTTTCAATTCATGACATCGTCCTGAACATGCATGAAATATTTGCCACTGGACATTAAGCAACCAATAATTAATCAATCAACCAATTCATGACGAAAGAGATCAAATTGCCTTGTTTTAATATCTTGATTACAATACAATGAAATCTTACCCTTGTGGTCATTCATGCATAGTTACTTAGTACAAGGAAAAAGTACGTACTATGAAAATTGGAAGGCAAATTCAAGCAATTTGATTGGACGAGAAGTTGTAAGTATGTGCTAATGAGAAATAGGATGCAAGTCCTGTCAATTTTTATTCCTCCTATGAATTTAGAATTATATATTGTTGCAAAATTATAAAACTCAGAAATATCAGGAAGGACTGTTGGAAACATTTTAGAAATGAGTTAAAAAAAAAAAATGAAGTATCAATAGAAATATGTCTGTAGTCTGAAAAAACATCAGAGATATTACAAATAATGTATGAAAACTTACCGGATTAATATCTGTTAAAAAACCTCCAGGAACTTCAGTTGGATCCTCTGGACTTTTATGGAAAAACCTGAATTTTTAAAACCCTAAATAATTAGAAGCTGGTCATTATCCTATTTTACTTTCTAGTCTCTTTGCTACTATGTATCAATTATAGTGGTTTCCCTTAAACTATCCTAATCACAAACTTTTACATTGTTGACGCCGCCATCGAAAAAGCATACTGTGAAAGTACTTTTATTAGTGAGGTAACAATTTTCAGGGTTTTCGTGGATGGCATTATCCACGAAATTAAGTGTCCAACGAAATATAACAACTGTTGTCCGAATGATGACATGGAAAGATCCCAATGTAGGTTTGACTACACGGATACGGGCATATAATCTTGACAATACATCGAATACAACTTCAGACAGGATTTAACCCATTTAATCTTTAAATACCCAAACTGTAGGATTTTTAAGCTTTTAATTCTCTTGAAAAGCTAGTTTTGATCGATGAAAATCAGACTTCCGGTGATGATATGCGATGAAGTGGTCATTTTAACTCCTCATAATGTTCATTCGAAAAAAAAAAAAAAGTGGATAGTGTCCACATGTGGACACAGATGATGCCCCCGCTTGCACATCATATAGTTATAAAGGGACATAACTGAAGAACGGAAAAAGTGACGCTACCCAAATTTGAACTTGATCTGAGTTTTGTGGTAATTAGCATTGTGTGTAAGTCTCATAACATTTGGTTGAGGCTAACTTAAGTAGAGAACAGAAACTAAAAATTCAGCAATTTTTCTATTTGTAAACACACATAACTCTATTACGGTTGTGTATAAGTTTTATAACATTTGGTTCAGACAAACTAAAGTTAGAGAACGGAAACGAAAAATTCAGCAATTTTTATGTTTATAAAAGGACATAATTCAAGAATGGTAAAAGGGTCGCCACCAAATTTCGTACTTAATCTGTTTTATGTAGTAATAAGCATTGTGTATAAGTTTCATAACATTTGGTTGAGGCAAACTAAAGTTAGAAAACGGAAACAAATTAATTTATCAGTAGGAAGTAAAATTGAATATTGCATTGTATAAAGCATTGGTTGTAGTTGATTCAACTACCATTATGCACAAAGAAAGATAACTCCAATTTTCAAAGAAGACTTTAAAATATTTTTAGAAATGAAGGGTAAAAATTGCTTTAATTTATCAGTGGAAGGCAAAATTAAATATTGCATTGTATAAAGCATTGATTGTAGTTGATTGAACTATAATCTTGGATAAAGGAAGATAACTCCAATTCTAAAAATGACTTGATATTTAGATAAAAAAACAGAAAAATTTAACAATTTTTCCATTTGTAAAGGGCATAACTCTAGAACAGTAAAAGTGACGGCACCAAAATTCAAACTTGAGCTGTATATTGTGGTAATAAGCATTGTGTATAAGTTTCATAACATTTGTTTGAGGCAAACTTAAGTTAGAGAACAGAAACGAAAAATTTAGCAATTTTTCCATTTGTAAAGGAGCATAACTCTAGAACGGTAAAAGTGACGCCACCAAAATTCAAACTTGATCTGTATTTAGTGGTAATTAGCATTGTGTATAAGTTTCATATCATTTAGTGGAGGCAAACTAAAGTTAGAGAACGGAAACCAACTTTGGGACGGACGGATGGATGGACGTACAGACGGACAAGGGTAAAACTTAATGCCCCCTCTGCTACGGCGGGGGCATAAAAAATCATATAGAACAAATAAAAGTACTTTCACAGTACCTAAGTCTTGCTTTTTGGCTCTGTCAAGGCGAGGCAAAAATGGCCATGTATTCACATAAACATCAAATAGATTTTTTAATGTTTAAATCTAATGCAACTTTAATAATTCTGTAATAAACATCAATTGGAAAATTGACAATTCTGCTATGGGAAGAACTCAAGATGGAACTGAGAATTCACCAAGGTCACCATTGTACACTGAGATGTAGTACGGTTGTCTAAAGACATAATAAAGACATTACCAGAATCCTATACAGTAGCACAAAGCAAACAAACAACCAATCATACAATTAATGTATAGTTGACAAGCCCTGTCAAATCTGTAATTTATCCATTGTTAAAGGATCTATAATCTGTGTTGAATGAACACCAATAACATATCAAATCAAATGTGTCTTATATAATCATCATATTAAAAGATGAAAGTACAATTGGAACATCTTAACCCTCAAATCAGTGAGGCATATAAATTGGTTTTATGTATATTTTTTATAACAGGCGTTCATATTGATGGACTTCACAAACAATGGGATTGCAGAATGAAATGTTTGATACATGTTATACTTACAGACACTCGTATTGACAGACTTCACATACAATGGGATTGGAGAATGAAATGTTTAATACATGTTATACTTACATATGCTCGTATTGACGGACTTCACATACAATGGGATTGGAGAATGAAATGTTTAATACATGTTTTACTTACAGACGCTCGTATTGACAGACTTCACAAACAATGAGATTGGAGAATGAAATGTTTAATACATGTTATACTTACAGACGCTCGTATTGATGGACTTCACAAACAATGGGATTGGAGAATGAAATGTTTAATACATGTTTTACTTACAGACGCTCGTATTGACGGACTTCACAAACAATGGGATTAGAGAATGAAATGTTTAATACATGTTTTACTTACAGACGCTCGTATTGACAGACTTCACAAACAATGGGATTAGAGAATGAAATGTTTAATACATGTTTTACTTACAGACGCTCGTATTGATGGACTTCACAAACAATGGGATTGGAGAATGAAATGTTTAATACATGTTTTACTTACAGACGCTCGTATTGACGGACTTCACAAACAATGGGATTGGAGAATAAAATGTTAAATACATGTTTTACTTACAGACGCTCGTATTGATGGACTTCACAAACAATGAGATTGGAGAATGAAATGTTTAATACATGTTTTACTTACAGACGCTCGTATTGACAGACTTCACAAACAATGGGATTGGAGAATGAAATGTTTAATACATGTTTTACTTACAGACGCTCGTATTGATGGACTTCACAAACAATGAGATTGGAGAATGAAATGTTAAATACATGTTTTACTTACAGACGCTCGTATTGATGGACTTCACAAACAATGGGATTGGAGAATGAAATGTTTTATACATGTTTTACTTACAGACGCTCGTATTGACAGACTTCACAAACAATGGGATTAGAGAATGAAATGTTTAATACATGTTTTACTTACAGACGCTCGTATTGATGGACTTCACAAACAATGGGATTGGGGAATGAAATGTTTAATACCATGTTTTACTTACAGACCCTCTTATTGATGGACTTCACAAACAATGGGATTGGGGAATGAAATGTTTAATACATGTTTTACTTACAGACGCTCTTATTGATGGACTTCACAAACAATGGGATTGGAGAATGAAATGTTTAATACATGTTTTACTAACAGATGCTCGTATTGACAGACTTCACAAACAATGGGATTGGAGAATGAAATGTTTAATACATGTTATACTTACAGACGCTCGTATTGATGGACTTCACAAACAATGGGATTGGAGAATGAAAAGTTTAATACATGTTTTACTTACAGACGCTCGTATTGATGGACTTCACAAACAATGGGATTGGAGAATGAAATGTTTAATCAGGGCTTCCAAAATTATTTTTAGCCAGCCGGACATTTTATATATTATCCCGATTTTAATCCCTTAAGACAAAATAAACAAAAGGCAATTATGGTAATCATTTGCCTAGTTGGCCATCCCAATGATTGACATTAAAAAAAAAAACGATATTAAACTTTCTTTGATTCAAATTCAAAGTTCTGACGTAAACTGTTAAACTGACAGTGCATCATTCGAAGTGTGCAACATCAGCGTACTTATAGACTCTTTATTTGTGCAAAATAACGTTGTCAAAAACTTTACTTTCGTTTTCAAATCTAATATACCGGATGTTATCTTGACAATGGTAAAACATGGACCAGAGACGGATACGTAAATTCCGTGTACGTTTGCAAAGCATGAATGAGTGTATGTAGCTCTTTCTACGTTATTTCTTCAAGAAAATATTCGAAATAAACGTGAGATAAAGGTATCAATGGCAATTTAAGCATTTTTTGGAGAAATTAGGATGCATAATTAAATTTCACACCTTCGCACATGCGCACACGTGTACTGTTCAAACAGAGACATGTCTCTGGTTCAAACAACGTGGTTATGACGATTTTTCATTTTCACCTTTTAAAATTTTTTCATCAAATCATATTTGTAAACGTATTTCTGATAATTTAAATCATTTTGACTAAATTAATTAGATGCCGGCAAACCGCTGAAATGTAAGAAAATAACTTTGAATAGATTGATCCGGTTCAAAATAGTTTACCTATCACCTGAACAGGTAAATTTCAGCTGTTCGACAACTAATTAGCCTTTATTAAAATGAGAAGGTATTAAAGTAGGGGTTGTTTTGATAGTACTTAATGATCATGTCACTTATATGACAGGAAATGTGTGGCTGTTATAGGCAAAAGGTATGGTCAAAAAGATCGCGAATTATGTTAAAATGACCGTCTCTTAAGAAAGCCTTGAAAACTAAAAAGTAGATGACCGTTTCATGCTTTTCCCAGCCGAACTTTTACCGGACATTATACAAATGTCCGGCATATATGACTGTTTTGGAAGCCTTATACAGTTTAATACATGTTATACTTACAGATGCTCGTATTGACGGACTTCACATACAATGGGATTGGAGAATGAAATGTTAAATACATGTTTTACTTACAGACGCTCGTATTGACGGACTTCACAAACAATGAGATTGGAGAATGAAATGTTTAATACATGTTATACTTACAGACGCTCGTATTGATGGACTTCACAAACAATGGGATTAGAGAATGAAATGTTTAATACATGTTTTACTTACAGACGCTCTTATTGATGGACTTCACAAACAATGGGATTGGGGAATGAAATGTTTAATACATGTTATACTTACAGACGCTCGTATTGATGGACTTCACAAACAATGGGATTAGAGAATGAAATGTTTAATACATGTTTTACTTACAGACGCTCTTATTGATGGACTTCACAAACAATGGGATTGGAGAATGAAATGTTAAATACATGTTTTACTTACAGACGCTCTTATTGATGGACTTCACAAACAATGGGATTGGGGAATGAAATGTTTAATACATGTTATACTTACAGACGCTCGTATTGATGGACTTCACAAACAATGAGATTGGAGAATGAAATGTTTAATACATGTTATACTTACAGACACTCTTATTGATGGACTTCACAAACAATGAGATTGGAGAATGAAATGTTTAATACATGTTTTACTTACAGACGCTCGTATTGACAGACTTCACAAACAATGGGATTGGAGAATGAAATGTTTAATACATGTTTTACTTACAGACGCTCGTATTGACAGACTTCACAAACAATGAGATTGGAGAATGAAATGTTTAATACATGTTTTACTTACAGACGCTCGTATTGACAGACTTCACAAACAATGGGATTGGAGAATGAAATGTTTAATACATGTTTTACTTACAGACGCTCGTATTGATGGACTTCACAAACAATGAGATTGGAGAATGAAATGTTTAATACATGTTTTACTTACAGACGCTCGTATTGATGGACTTTACAAACAATGGGATTGGAGAATGAAATGTTTAATACATGTTTTACTTACAGACGCTCGTATTGATGGACTTCACAAACAATGGGATTGGAGAATGAAATGTTTAATACATGTTTTACTTACAGACGCTCGTATTGACGGACTTCACAAACAATGGGATTAGCAACCCAGTGTATAAATCCTTTAGGTTTTTGTGTTTCTGTTGTTTTAGTACAGGTAGCTTGTAAGTCAGTGATGTTACCGTCACTATCCTGTAAAACAACATACAAGCTATCATAAGTGTACAGTTTTTTTTAACCACAATCAACCATTTTTAGTTATATTTTATTTCTAATTCAGTAATAATATTTGCCAGATTTCATTACTATGAACTGTACTAAAATAGTATCAGTCATTTCACAACTACAATAAGTATTTGTTACTGATTATTGATTATTTAAAGCATAATCATAAATACAGTAAGTTTCCAACTCAAATATGTAAACACATAATGTGCATTCATTTATTTTTCGTGGATACAAATTTTTGTTGATATTTGATTTCTTGGTTTTCCTGAGGTTTGCATACAAGCCTATGGAAAATTTGTACTTCCTTGAAAATTTAAATTCATGGTTCACCTACATCCATGAAATCCTTGAAAATTTAAGTTCATGGTTCACCTACATCCATGAAATCAGCGAAAATGAGTAACCAAAGAATAATAATAAATCCGCAGTAATCAATTACATGGGGTATTAAATTCATGATTAGTAAATACAAGTTTTGATGATCTATATAAAAAACATCTCCAACTGGTATATAAGCTCCTTCTGTATGACTAAATGTGATACTTTTGTTATACAGTGTATTGTATACATCTAAGCTCTTGTACCACATATAAATGAATTTTGAGATTACAAAATCATAATGTTAAAACAAGTTGTATTTATTTAAATTTAATTGATTTTTGTAAGTTTTAGTCATTTTATTTGGGTTTAAAGAAATCATATGTTGACTGAAAGAATGAAGGAGGTACTCGCTAACATTACAATACCCATGAAAATACTTTTATTTTACCTTGTTTATTTTGTCTATACTCAGGACATAACCAGCATGTCTAAGTCCTACAGGTTGATCTGCAGACCACCTTTTATAATTCTTATCTGCTTTCTGAAGAAAAAATTGGTAAAAAAAAATATTTTTTTCTATAAAAACAAAATGAAAGCTTCTGTCGTTATATGAAAAGATATAATGAAGATACTGAAGTTTCAGAAACTGTTATCTATTAAGATAAATGATGCAATAGAAAAAGCAAAACAGAAAAGAAATGTTTGATCTTCAAAATATTATTCTTTTTTTTTTCTTTTCATCTTTAAAAGTTACTAAAATATAAGTTCAAATAATTCTCAATATCAAAATTCCTTCAACATTATACAAGTCATAAACAAAATTCAAAATCACTTTCAAATGCCAAATTATCATTAGTTTAACAACCTTCTTAAAGAGCAAACATGAAAAGTTAAAGTGGATAAATACTTAAACCTTTTTTTTTTAATGTTATTTACCTCTTTGAAGTCACTCCTTTCTATAAAAATAGTTGAGGTAAAAGGAATAGTATGAGATCCTTTAGTTTCATCTGCAGGGAAATTGGGAATGACCAGACTCCCTGAATGATCACCTGGGAAATTACTGATTGTAACTTTCAAAGGTTCTAAAACAGCCATTGCTCTGAAATATTAAGATTTGTTATGCTACATAAAAAGCCCTTTGTAATATAAAACATTTATATAATTCAACACAATATTGCAATTGAACTCAGTTCCCTTCAACTTGTTTATACCAGTTAAAAATGAACACTGGACAAATCCATTCTTTTTGTTTTATGAATGAGACAAAAGGTAAGATGAGTTAAAAGTTTTCAGGTTTTTGTTTTTCTCACAAAATATTATGAAACTCAGACTTAATACATAACTTTGCAATTGTATATTCCATACAGATTTGAAAAACATTAAAGATTATGTTTATTCTTTATATTTATAGCTAGGTATTAGTTTAACATGAAGAATTTAATGTTTTTATGCATGTTAACACAAGGTAAAGCATTATTCTTTCTTTTAGAGGGAAATCTCAGTTTGAAATTGTATTAGATTGTAATCATTCAAAATCAAAAGTAGCTAGTAAAATGTTATCAATCTGGCTATTTTCAAACATTACAAGACAATTTGATTGTTTTGAGATTAAATTTGATAACTTCAAAAAATCTTAGCAAGCACTATTATTAAATGAATTAAAACACCATTTCTAGTTTTCAACCTAGCTTAAAATAATGTCTAACACAAGCCTTCTGCATGCAATGATCTTAAACTGTCTGAGCCATTGTGGCCCCTACTTACCTTGGAGCAGTAACATTAAGTACATCCCTAATACGAACCTCCAGCATGGAGGGATCTAAAACTGTCTAAGCCATTGTGGCCCCTACTTACCTTGGAGCAGTAACATTAAGTACATCCCTAACACAAACCTCCAGCATGGCAAAATCCTGTCTGGGCAATTGTGACCCCTACTTACCTTGGAGCAGTAACATTAAGTACATCCCTAACACGAACCTCCAGCATTGAAGAATCTAAACCTGCTGGGCCATTGTGGTCCCTACTTACCTTGGAGCATTAACATTAAGTACATCCCTAACACGAACCTCCAGCATGGAGGGATCTAAAACTGTCTGAGCCATTGTGGCCCCTACTTACCTTGGAGCAGTAACATTAAGTACATCCCTAACACGAACCTCCAGCATGGAGGGATCGAAAACTGTCTGAGCCATTGTGGCCCCTACTTACCTTGGAGCAGTAACATTAAGTACATCCCTAACACAAGCCTCCAGCATGGAAGGATCTAAAAGTCTGAGCCATTGTGGCCCCTCCTTACCTTGGGGCAGTAACATTAAGTACATCCCTAACACGAACCTCCAGCATGGAAGAATCTAAACCTGTCTGGGCCATTGTGGCCCCTACTTACCTTGGAGCAGTAACATTAAGTACATCCCTAACACGAACCTCCAGCATGGAGGGATCTAAAACTGTCTGAGCCATTGTGGCCCCTACTTACCTTGGAGCAGTAACATTAAGTACATCCCTAACACAAGCCTCCACCATGGAAGGATCTAAAAGTCTGAGTCATTGTGGCCCCTACTTACCTTGGAGCAGTAACATTAAGTACATCCCTAACACAAACCTCCAGCATGGAAGGATCTAAAACTGTCTGGGCCATTGTGGCCCCTACTTACCTTGGAGCAGTAACATTAAGTACACCCCTAACACAAACCTCCAGCATGGAGGGATCTACTACTGTCTGAGCCATTGTGGCCCCTACTTACCTTGGAGCAGTAACATTAAGTACATCCCTAACACAAACCTCCAGCATGGAAGGATCTAAAAGTCTGAGCCATTGTGGCCCCTACTTACCTTGGAGCAGTAACACTTAGTACATCCCTAACACAAACCTCCAGCATGGAAGGATCTAAAACTGTCTGGGCCATCGTGGCCCCTACTTACCTTGGAGCAGTAACATTAAGTACATCCCTAACACAAACCTCCAGCATGGAGGGATCTAAAACTGTCTGAGCCATTGTGGCCCCTACTTACCTTGGAGCAGTAACATTAAGTACATCCCTAACACAAACCTCCAGCATGGAAAAATCCTGTCTGGGCAATTGTGGCCCCTACTTACCTTGGAGCAGTAACATTAAGTACATCCCTAACACGAACCTCCAGCATGGAAGAATCTAAAACTGTCTGGCCCATTGTGGCCCCTACTTACCTTGGAGCAGTAACATTAAGTACATCCCAAACACGAACCTCCAGCATGGAGGGATCTAAAACTGTCTGAGCCATTGTGGCCCCTACTTACCTTGGAGCAGTAACATTATGTACATCCCTAAAACAAACCTCCAGCATGGAGGGATCTAAAACTGTCTGAGCCATTGTGGCCCCTACTTACCTTGGAGCAGTAACATTAAGTACATCCCTAACACAAACCTCCAGCATGGAAGAATCTAAACCTGTCTGGGCCATTGTGACCCCTACTTACCTTGGATCAGTAACATTAAGTACATCCCTAACACGAACCTCCAGCATGGAGGGATCTAAAACTATCTGAGCCATTGTGGCCCCTACTTACCTTGGAGCAGTAACATTAAGTACATCCCTAACACAAGCCTCAAGCATGGAAGAATCTAAAACTGTCTGGGCCATTGTGGCCCCTACTTACCTTGGAGCAGTAACATTAAGTACATCCCTAACACAAGCCTCCAGCATGGAAGGATCTAAAACTGTCTGAGCCATTGTGACTCCTACCTACAAAATATAACTCTCAGTTTAGTTCTGAAAATGACATGACCATAGCAGAAATTTACACTTTTTCAAACTCTCTATGGACTGAGTAATGATAAAAGCAGTGTAGAATTTATTATTTTAAGAAACTAACATTTAACTTTCCTTCACTATTTTGACCAGTACCAGCCTAGATGACTTCTTACTATTTGCTTTGCTGTCTAATTGACCTATCCCCCACATCTACTTTAATTCATATTAAGGATATGATTAGTAGTTATTAATTTTCTTTTAAGTTTAATGTTAACACTCTTACTTTTGCACAGAATAAGTTGATAGCCTCTGGTGGGAAACCACGTCTACGTAAAGCTGTTAATGTAAACAATCTTGGGTCATCCCAATCTCTGTCAACATAAACAATGCATGGCAAATATTAGATCATGAGAAAAATTAATTACAGAAGCTTATGTCATTAAGAAAAGTAATTACAGAAGCTTATGTCATTAGGAAAGTAAGGATAATGGGTAAAAATTATAAACTGTTATCACAGAGATATGTCTCGCTTTTTTGTAATTTTGATAATGCAAATGTTGAAATTAAAATAGCAATACTTTAACCCATAAGTTATGCAAATATTCAAAGTCGATGAACCATGACTGAAGGTAAATGGCTAAACAATCTCCATGAAAATGAGATGTGCCAATGCTAATACAACTGCATACCAAATACCATTGACTTATTATAAGTTGTTTCCTTTAAACAAACCTAAAGACAAACATTAACTTGTAAACTATGTAAAAGTTTCAAAGTCAATGAACCATGATGAGGGGGTGGGGCTAAATAATCTCCATGAAAAAGATACTTGCAAATGCCAATAAATTTGCATACCAAATATCATTGACTTTACATTAGCAGTTCATCTTAAACTGATCTAATCACAAACTAATACATGTAAGCTAAGCAAAATTTTCAAAGTCAATAGACCATGACTGAGGGAACAGGGCCAAATATTTTCCATGGAAATGAGATATGCCAATGCTTATACAACTGCATACCAAGTAGAACTACTTTTTATCAAAATTCCTATCTACCATCTGTTATTCGTGAATGGAACAGCCTTCCACAAGATGTTAGATGTAATCCATCTAAATTTACACTTAAAATTTATATAAATCGAGATATTAAGAAAGCCCCTTCATATTATAATACTGGTTGTAGAAAAGGCCAAATACTTCACGCCAGACTCCGGTTGAACTGCAGTGGCTTAAATGAACACCTTTTCCAGAAAAATATTGTTCTTTCCAGCCTCTGTATATGTGGACAGGTTGAGAGCACCAAACATTATCTGCTAGAATATCATAATTATAGTCTCATCAGGACACAAACCATTTCTACACTACCAAGATATAAAATACAAACATTATTATCAGGTAGTGAACTCATCAGTGATGAGGAAAACGAAAATATTTTTAAAGTTGTACAAAGTTTTATTTTAGAAACAGGGAGATTTGGTTCATAAATAATTATTTTTATGTCGATTTAGATGTTGAAAACTTTAATTTAATTTACCTTATTTTCAAACATTTACATACTTCACAGCTACATGTGAGACCACAATCATAAAAAAAGATGAGTTGATAATATTTTTCGATCAAACTGACTTCTGAGTAGCGGGCAAACCACTGAATAAACATGTAATGTGAATTGAAATTTACATTATACGAGCTTCTTATACTATGTTCCTAATTTTGTCATTTTTTTAAAGGGAGATGGATTTATATAAGTTATTCTTGTTTCCGAATCCCAGAATTTATATTGTATAATTGTATATTGTGCACTTTTGAAATAAAATATTGTTTAAACTAAATATCATTGACCTAACACTAGTGGTTCCCCATAAACTGACCTAATCACAAACTAATACATGTAAACTAAGCAAAAGTTTCAAAGTCAATAGACCATGACTGAGGGGGCAAGGCCAAATAATCTCCATGGAAATGAGATGTGCCTATGCTTATACAACTGCATACCAAATATCATTGACCTACCACTAGTGGTTCCCCATAAACTGACCTAATCACAAACTAATACATGTAAACTCAGCAAAAGTTTCAAAGTCAATAGACCATGACTGAGGGGGCAGGGCCAAATAATCTCCATGGAAATGAGATGTGCCTATGCTTATACAACTGCATACCAAATATCATTGACCTACTACTTGTGGTTCACTATAAACTAGACCTAATCACAAACTAATACATTGTTGACCCCGCCGCAGACACCGGAAACATCATACCTATGTCTCGCTTTTTGACTCCTTCAAGGCGAGACAAAAAAATCTGTCCATACAGTGGGAATAACTGATACATCTAAAGGGTAGCACAACCTTACTCACCAAAATCAAAATATTCCCTAGCATCAAACTTTTGAAAAACGATTTTTAAAAAGAGACCTTGACAAGAGAATAATCATCAATGAAAATATAAGAAAATATTAATATTGATTAAGCAACACAAAGCCAACTAAAAACTAAGGTTGAACTCGGATGAATTGGTGGCGTAAGCATAATTTTGTCTGTAAATATGTAAATATTTTTTTAAAAGAAAAGATGGATAGATTGACACACATGTACAAAATTATATGCCCTAGCCACCTGATGATATAAACTGTATACACAATGAGAAATACTTTTGTGTTATGATTATCTTTCATCATTTTAATTGTTATGTTGCATAAACTCTACAGGATACTTGTGATGTTTCCAGTATTCAGGATTTACCTTTGGATTAAAAAGTAACTATTGTATATTACTTTGATAGTTGTATACACAGTCATAATCATGTTTTCTGAAATTTAATCCATAAAATAAATAAATTTTCATATGCTGGTAGGTATAAATATATACATATATATTGATTTTTTATTGTTTCTTTGCAGAGAATCTAGCATTACATTTGACATCCTTTCTGTACAATACACTGTTGACACAGAGATACGTCTCGCCTGTCGTCAGAAAATTCAGAAAAAGACAATCTGAAGGACATGGACCATGACTTAGGGAGCAAGGCCTCCAAATAGAAACCAAACTGATATGTGCTGATAGTAGTGCAACTTTATAGAAAATATCATTGATCTATCACAAGCAGTTCCCATCAAACTTACTTAAGCAGAAAATTTAATATTGAAAATTGCCGATTAATTGAAAGTCGCTGGACCATGACCTAGTGGGTAGTGCCTCGAAATAGACCTTAAAATGATATGTACTGATAGTAATGCAACTTTAAAGAAAATACCATTGATCTTTCACAAGTAATTCCTATCAAACTGACTTAAGCAGAAACTAAACAATTGTTGATGTCGTTGCCTTCAAAATCGCCACTGGAAAAGCAACACCTATGTCTCACCTTCTGCAACATTTTCGTCCCAGATGAGATAAAAAACCATCATAAACTTCTACCAGCAAGTCAAATTGAACTTATATTTACCTTACATATCCTTCAGTTATTAATTTGCCTATTTTTCGTTTGGAGACAACAGCATAGTTGAGATTCAGTCGTCCATATTCCCACTGGACAGGACAATACAGGTCCAGTACATTACATAACCAATAGTAGGATGACCGTCTGAAATAAATTCAGAAAAATATTTTTCTATCTATTCAATCAAATCTTTTGTTAAAGTGTTTTTGTTGGAATTCTTTATTACCAGTATACTGAAAATTGATAGCTCACGTAAAATAATTAAGTTAATTGAATCTTTAAAGATCACAATTTGGATTTTCAAAACAAATATTGAGAATGAATTATGGCAAAAGCACATAGAGATAGAGCAAACCAAATATAGTGGTAAATGATACTTAGTCATTTGGTATAAATTGCTATTGGAAAGTAAATATACCATCGTATATCTCTAAAAAAAGTTACATGTTTTTGTTGGATTCTAACACAGTTCATTGGAACAGTACCTTCTTTAAAGCAATGTGGTGTGAGTGCTTGTTCTATGTTGAAGGCCTAACTGTGACTTTGAGATTAAATTCCAGTAACTAAAAGAAGTGTTTGAGGACACGAATGCCCCCGCTCAAGCTTGCTAATAATACATGAATTTTGATATCTGTTTGCGAGTTTTGGTTCTTAGCATTGTGCATGAGTTTCATAAAATTTGGACGAGGAAAACTTGTTAGAGTGCGGAAATCAAAATGGGACGAACCTTAATGCCCCCTTAGCCTAGCAGCAGTGCATAAAAAAAGAGCTGTTCCTATCTTGCCTGCTATATTGATGAAAATTGTTATGTTGAAAGTATTTACTGGGAGGGTAATATTATAGGTATGACATAATCTTAACATTATCAATTATCCATGTAAATGTAGTCGAGGCCTGATGAACCAGTCTAAAAGACATGTACACCTTACAATCATTCCAAACATCAAATACTCCATGCAGATGACCAATTGCTTATTTAGTACACAAAGAATGGGTGATGTTTTCTTCTAGAAGTATACATGATAATTACCTTGATTGAAACTCTTTAGTACACAAAGAATGGGTGATGTTTTCTTTTAGAAGTATACATGATAATTACCTTGATTGAAACTCCTTAGTACACAAAGAATGGGTGATGTTTTCTTTTAGAAGTATACATGATAATTACCTTGATTGAAACTCTTTAGTACACAAAGAATGGGTGATGTTTTCTTCTAGGAGTATACATGATATTTACCTTGATTGAAACTCTTTAGTACACAAAGAATGGGTGATGTTTTCTTCTAGAAGTATACATAATTACCTTGATTGAAACTCTTTAGTACACAAAGAATGGGTGGTGTTTTCTTCTAGAAGTATACATGATAATTACCTTGATTGACTCTTTAGTACACAAAGAATGGGTGATGTTTTCTTCTAGAAGTATACATGATAATTACCTTGATTGAAACTCTTTAGTACACAAAGAATGGGTGATGTTTTCTTCTAGAAGTATACATGATAATTACCTTGATTGAAACTCTTTAGTACACAAAGAATGGGTGATGCTTTCTTTTAGAAGTATACATGATAATTACCTTGATTGAAACTCTTTAGTACACAAAGAATGGGTGATGTTTTCTTCTAGAAGTATACATAATTACCTTGATTGAAACTCATTAGTACACAAAGAATGGGTGGTGTTTTCTTCTAGAAGTATACATGATAATTACCTTGATTGACTCTTTAGTACACAAAGAATGGGTGATGTTTTCTTCTAGAAGTATACATGATAATTACCTTGATTGAAACTCTTTAGTACACAAAGAATGGGTGATGTTTTCTTCTAGAAGTATACATGATAATTACCTTGATTGAAACTCTTTAGTACACAAAGAATGGGTGATGTTTTCTTTTAGAAGTATACATGATAATTACCTTGATTGAAACTCTTTAGCACACAAAGAATGGGTGGTGTTTTCTTCTAGAAGTATACATAATAATTACCTTGATTGAAACTCTTTAGTACACAAAGAATGGGTGATGTTTTCTATAGAATCACATAAACAATGAGTATAATCATAGGTTGGGTATATACACCTGAAATAAATAATATTAAATTTAAAGAAATTCCCAAACTTTTCTTATAAATCTGTTCCTGACATACAAATCTTGTTTCATCTAATAGTGATATATACACTTGTCTTTTCTTTCAAGCTTTACTTATCAGGTATGTATGATACAAACAACTTTAAATCAGTACCTGACACACAAATATTTTATCCTTTCTCTTCTTTCAAGCTTTTTCTTACATGTGGTCCAGATTCCATAAGGAAGATGTTGTTATTACATTTGGTTCAGTACCTTTCAGAAAGATAATTTTTCTTCATATTTGGTTCCTTCTGTACCTTTCAGAAAGAATTTTTTTCATTCAATTCCGTCCAAGACCCTTGAGGTGTTATTTTTCTTTCAAATAAATTAGGCAAAGGATCTGTGTAATCATTTTTTTGTTGCTTTTGTTCATGACCTAACAGGGTGTAAGAACACTAAACTGTACTCAAGACAAGTAATTAAGTGTTTATTTTGGTCTTTAAAAAGAAACCCATGACTCAGCTGATAAGGTATATCATATGTCTATTGTCAACTCTGATATAAGAAATCAAAGACCAAGTGTTCTCCTTACAGATAAATCAATATTTCCAATAACTATTTTACCATTTGCATAAGGTGGACTCACTATAATTCGTGGGATACAAATTTTCATGGATTTCGTTGTTAAATGTGAACACTTAATTTAAATATTTAATAAATTACAAAATCTCTATAGGCTTGTCTGCCGACTTTGGCAGAATGAGAAATCAGATGTCCATGAAAATAATACTTTCAAATCAACGAAAAATTTGGTACTGATAAAAATAAATGAATCCACAGTAGATCATACATCGTTTTTTTTACCATTTATCCCCAGTTCTGTGATGAGGGGTAAATTTTATCCTATATGCCACTGGATCTTTCTTTCCTTCCTCCAATGTTGTTTTCATTCGCAATGTAGCATCACCTTCAGTTATCTTTCCATTCTTCATATCCTGTGGAAAATTTCAGTTTTACATAATGTTCCATTTCAACATGTATGGTTTATCACATGCATTTTACTGTAAATATTATTTACATATTTGCATCTTTTAATGTTATTGTCATCTCTCTTTTTTGGAGGGTGGTCAATATATGAAAAATTGATGTTTTTGGCAGAAATTTAATAGCCTCTCTCCTAATTTTCTCTGAAATTTAGAACTTCCACAAATTTTTAATATACCTGACTATTGTTGAAGACCATAAGTTGATATCAAGATGTCTTTTGGTTATTATGTTGTTGGGTTGCTGTCATGATGTATACACTACAACTCCTTTTACTCAAATAAAGGAATTCCTTTATTTTTTTAGAATGATAACTTGTTGAAATCAGTTAAACATAAGCAAACTGATTTTACCAGCAGACTAATTATTCAAATAAACATAAAAGAAATCCAATCATCTGAAATGCTTGACCAATTTCTGCACTAAGACTAAACAAGTTCTCTTTTATAATCTATGATAGATTTATTGTGATCGATGGTTTTTCAAACGAGAGGGTGTTTCTCAGCTACAATATTGAAGGACGACAGCTCAGAGATGAGATGTAGCCAAGAGACATCCTTGAGTTTGAAAGACCATCAATAATCTGTTTATCACTGTTTTCCTAGGCAATATCAATGACATAGGTTAATGACATCATACAATTTCTTTCTATATGACTGAGAAAATCGAAAAATTATCACAAATAATCAAAGGAAAATTTTAAACAAGAATGTGTCCATAGTACACGGATGCCCCACTCGCACTATCATTTTCTATGTTCAGTGGACCGTGAAATTGGGGTCAAAACTCTAATTTGGCATTAAAATTAGAAAGATCACATCATAGGGAACATGTAATAAGTTTAAGGTTGATTGGACTTCAACTTCATCAAAAAACTACCTTGACCAAAAAGCTGAAGCGGGACAGACAGACTAATGAACGAACGGACGAACGAACGAACGAAAAACATAATGCCCCTCTACTATCGTAGGTGGGGCATAAAAATAATGATAATGAGATATTCTTACTTCAAATAACTGTAGAGATTCTTCAATAGGTCTGTCTCTCCATGGAGAATCTGGAGGATTGAAACCTTTTATATCTTCAGATTTCATATGACAAATATATGCATGTCCTCTCTTGATCAATTCTACAGCCAGCTCATATAATCTGTCAAAATTATCTGAGGCATGGGTAACTTTAAATGGTTTGTATCCTGTAAAACATTATCATAATTTCAATCTTTTATTTTAAAACTGCTTCATAAAAAAAAAACATTAAGCATAACAATTATTACTTTTTCTTCTCTCAATGTCTATCTTTTCTAAGTATTTTTAATCAATTGTGTGATCCAAAATGCGGTTAGACAGTAGCCATTTTCCGCTAAAGGTAAAGTGATTTTCTATTCAGGAGATCATTTAAGGGAGATAATTTAAAAGTTAGCGATTGTGTGGGGTTACCAAGGGGTAATTGCAAATGTTTTTCAGACAGGTAAGTACAGATTTTGATATAAACAATTATACATCATATGCAACCATTTGAGCCCATAAAATACAAAAAGGCCCTTTTCAAACCACATTCAGGTAAAAAATGGGCCTGACCTGTAATAAGGCCAAAACAGCAGACACCTAATAAAAGGAATACAAGATTGCAAACTAATTTTAGAAAAGATTAAAGAAATATCTGCACCTACAAATTAGAGATAATTATTTATCAAATGAATTCTATGGAATGTGAAATAAAAAATTCATAAATGTGAATTCTACAAAATATATTTGCTCATACTCACACAAAGTTCATCATACCACAGCTAGTACGCAGCTAATTGTAAAATAATTGAAGCAAGTTGTAAATGTCGTCAAAAAAGTAAATATTATCTCACCTAACCACTGAACCATCTCAAGAATAGCTTTAAAAAATTTCTCCTCCTCTTTCTCTGGGTTGGTATCATCATATCTTAAGTAACAGTTCCCATCATGAGCCTAATAGAAAATAAAAATACAAAATCAAATGCTGTCAGCATTATTTGGAAAATAAATAGTCTGATATAAAATACAGGTATGTGGTGAAATATTTTATAAAAATACAAAACCAATACTGGGTCTGGACCAGAATCATGAATAATTTTGAAGGAAATCTGTTTAGTATAATCCGATAACCTTTGTGAATACAATGGTATACAGAAAACAATAGTTACAAAGTCACCCTCTGTCACAAAAATACTTGAATTTAAAGATGACAGAAAATATGTACCTCTCTAGCAATCAAGTTCCACATTTGGGAAAATCACTTAAAGCTCTGTCCAAAATAGAAGTTGCAGATCTTCAATATGTGTGCTGTTACTGTGCAAAGACTGAATGTTGAATGAAAACTGGTGGGTGAGGGTTCAACACTAATCAAGTACAGTCGACTCTACTTAATCGTATACCGCTTAATTGCATAATTGGGTTAATTGCATAATTTTCTCCTCCATAAAACCATTTCCCTTTCATCTAATGTTAAATTATCCGGTTATCTGCATAGCCTAAAAAGTGGCCTTTCGGTTAATTGCATAGAAAATAATCGCAAGCTAGATATGCTTAGTTAAAACTGACGAGATTTTTGACCGGAAACAGCAATTTGGTAGGTATATTTTTCTTGAATGCATTATTATTTTCATTATTATTTCATATTCACTTTTGTGTTGTTTAAATAAAGTTTTAAAACAGTTTCTTTCATGTTTATATGATGGGATATTGATTAATAACCCTCAATGTGTACACAGGTAAAGTTTCTCTTGTTATATTTTAAGCCTTGAGGTAAAAAATGTTGAACAGGTAATTGTTGTAAAAACAGGACCATTCTCTTTCAAAAGGTGTTAGTTATTGATTGGATTTCAAACATTGTCCACAGATTAAATTTGCGGTGATCTTTAAAAACAATGACGCCTGCTAATTCATTTTTGAAAAACCATCCGATGTGTACACTCGTAATTCGGCTTGGAGTGATTTGTAGTCATGTTAAACATTACAGGGCATTTATGTATGGTTGAAGAATTTTATATGTCAAACATTTATTTTTTGTAATTTTGGAAAAGAGCATTAACTTCTAATTATTATATTTTCTCACGTTCAACACTCGCATCAAGCAAATAACCCGTAAAGAGGCCCAAACTGCTTTGCATATATGAAACTATCGAGGTTAAAGAAACAGTGTTACATCACTGTGCAAGCGGTAAATACTGCATATCAAAGGCACTTCAATACACATTTATTGTTAAGAAAGATAATAAACTATGTAGCATTGTTAGACAGTTTATTTTCACCAAAGCGTAATAATGTACATTGCACATATGGGTCATGGAAACATCTATTTTTAGAACAATTTGTTCTTTTTTCATATCCCAGGTAAAGGAAACATTGGAGCTGTACTTTGCTTAATTGCAAAATTTTGTCTGACAAATAGGCTATGCAAATAACCGGAATCGACTGTACCTTCAATGAGCTTCATACCAGCAGAGGAATAAAAAACCTAGATATCATTGAGATGGGAGCCATCTCTGTGGGCCCCGCTGTGAACAATGTGTGGTAAAAAATTTGTATCTTTATCATTGGACATGGGGTTGTCAACTGAAACCAAAGTTTTTTACCTTCACCTTTGACCTAGGAAGTTGTACATTAATTATGACACACCCTCTGGTGTTGGTTTATATACATGTCAAGTATAAACTTTGAAATCGTAACATTTCTCAAGATATAGAGCAGACATGATTTTTACCATAGGACATGGGTTTGTCAACTAAAACCAAAGTTTTTGACCTTGACATTTGACCTAGGAAGTTGTACATACATTATGACACACCCTCTGGTGTTGGTTGATATTCATGTCAAGTATAAACTTTGAAATCATACCGGTTCTCTAGATATTGAGCAGACACAATTTGTTACGGACGGTCGGACAGACTGATAACTATAGGGCGTCCGCCATTCGGCGTGGCCCTAATAATAGTGGACAGAGTCAAGCAGTTACTTAACCTGCTCTCTTGTCTGTCAGGTTAAAAATAAGATGACAAGAATATGCCTTGTACCTTAAAGCTTTGGTGATCAATTGAATAAATCTGTAAAAGTACATATAGAAGTTGATCATATAAGACTTGACCATCAGTAATAATACATATTTTTGTTCTGTTCATTGTTGTTTTATCATTGCTTGTACTTTTTTCTCCAAGGAGTCAGTTGTTTGTGGTTTGTGTGGTAATTTGTTCTGTTCAATATTTTTGGTAATTTCTGTTATCTGTTTTACAATGTTTTTTAAAATTAATATTGGAATGAACTCCATTTATTTTTCTAGAGGAGAGATAGGAGGGGGTCTCATCCACAATTCCAAAGAAAATAAATGTCCAAAACATATGTACATAAATTTAGACTGAGTAAAATACTGAATCAATACAAGAAACTGTGCGGGGACATGTATTTTTAAGAGCATATTTGATAGGCAAGGTAGAAAACTTAACATTTAGCAAAGAAAACCAAATGTTTTTGCAGGTTGAAAAATATTCTTTATTTCTTACAGGTTTCCTTCAGAATTCTTTATCTTGAAACTGCTACATTGTCACCTACGGACAGACAATTATATTTTGTATTATAATTAGTCTGTGGACAGTTATCTCCCTTAGCCAAGGTAACTTAAGTTTGATCACTTTGGACATTGGTTAGGTAAAAGCTCTCATTCTTTGATTTTTTTCCATTCATTGTGTTTAATTTTCTTTTTTTTTGTGCAATACATATTTTTTCGTCCATGTAGAATAAATACTAGAAATTCAAAACTACTTACTCTAGCATAACCAAAGTTAAAGTTGATAGCTTTTGCATGGCCAATATGTAGAATACCATTTGGTTCTGGTGGAAATCTGGAATGTACCTGTTATTGTAGAAAAAATATATTCAAATGAATGAATAATTTAATCACACAAAAAATAAAGATAGCTCTTCGTAATACAAAGACACAAAATGCTAAGTAAAAATGACAGACAACCTATCATGAAACGTGGTATAATTCATATTTCTTGTGACATCAACATTAGCCTTCAATATTGTATATTTGTACAATATATGGAAGAAGTAACAATAAGTATAATAATTTATCAAACATAATAACTGATTTTGAATAAAAAAGATGCATTTCTTCTAGAATCCTGGCCATTTAAAATGCAGTGTAACTCTGTGGCAAAAAAGGTCAAGGTTGTTCTGTATAGTTAATTTCATTCCATCACAACTATCACAGTTAAGTCAGATAAAGAAGTCATTGTCCTTGATCCAAGTTAACACTGGTCTCTTAAAAGTGTGATATGTCTTTATATTCTATTACATCTCAAACTGAGATTTACTTATACCTCCCTGTTCCTATTATTCAGAATGAAAAAAAAAACTATCATTTGAAAGGCAAGTTTTGATCTGTCCAGAAATTTCAGGAAATCCACTCTTCAACATTAGTTTTACAATGAAGCCAGATTTCATAAAATGTACCTTGCCTCCAGTAACACTCATATGTTCCTTCAATAATTCCATGGTCTTAGGTGTTATCACATAACCTTCTGTTTTATAATTTTCCCCTAAAAACAAAAACAGAAATCACATATCATTTTATCTCTACCATCAAATGGTGCATGCTATTATTTCTATAAGGTTATATTATATAAGGTTTTATAGTGATTAGGATTATAACACAATATTGACGACCGCTGTACCCCAATTTTTGACATTTTTACCTAATATGTCTATTTGTTTTGCCTACACATTGTTGTCAATATAATGAAATTCTATGCAACTGTCATACAAGTGAGAAGTTTAGCTAGCTATAAAACCAGGTTTAACCCACCATTTTCTACAAAAGGAAATGCCTATAGCAAGTCAGGAATATGACAGTTGTTTTCCATTAGTTTGATGTGTTTGAGCTTTTGATTTTGCCATTTGATAAGGGAATTTCAATTTTTAATTTTCCTTGGAGTTCAGTATTTTAGTTATTTTACTGTTTTCGAGATAATGATCATAAACAGAGTGTGAATCAGATACAGGGACAACATATAGTTTCCTTAATTACTATGGAAGCCATTTATACTTAAAGGGAAAGTCCGCGATTTTTTACTTATCATCTAAATATGTTCATCTTAACATAAAAAACACATTCACAAAGTTATAAATTTATATTCTTTCTAATAAAGGAGAAAATCAAATATTTGTAACTTTTTTGGTTGACCTACGTCACTGGGTTGTGACGTTTTAACCCGATTTGTTGAATCATGGGAAAAAATAAAATCTGTTAAAGTCTTAATTGCTTATCAGAATTTTACGTGATTAAAAGCGCACAGATGACCGTTGGTCGTAGTTAATAACCACAATATTAGAATGAAAGAAAATGAATATGTGTGTATCGTTTTGTATTGATTGAATAAAACTTCCGAAATGAAGTTATCTAAATATAAATATTTTCGAATTAATTTCATAAATTATTGAGATTTTTTCATAAAATATCTATAGAACATTTTTACTGATATTGAACTGAAAATATTTTAAGTTTTATTTACCGTTATAACTTTGATAACCATTTCAATGCAAAATATTTGTGAACAGAGTTTGTATATTATTTTGTAAAGTCATTGTTTATTTCTCGATTTGAGGAGAATTCGTTTGAACTTTACCTTGCAGCAATTTAGCCTCAGGCGTACACATGTGTGAATTCAAGCGTACACAGGTGTGAATATTGTCATTTTGAATGGATTAATAGAAAGAGTATAGCGTGTTTAATATACCCAGATGAAATACCCGATGACAATAGAGAAACAATAATTAAATTGTATAAATTAATTGAAAATTTACATTCAACTTTTTAATTCCGGAAGTGTTACAATATTAAAATGGAACAATTTTCGTTTACGTTCTATGCAATTAGCATAAAGTTAAGATATGAAGTTAAAAGAATAGTACTTTTAACCTTAAAAATTAAATGTTACATTTCCCAATTAATAATCATTGCACATCTGTTTAATTTACTGTACCTGAATTCTTTAACTTGTATTAAACCTGGCGATGTTTAAATGCTAACAATCGTAAAACTATCGCAATTTTAAAGTTTTTAATTGAAAAAATACAACAGTACAACATGCATGATTTTTTTTAATTTTCTTATTAACATTTCATTCTTACATAATTAAATTCATTTGACAATCACTTAGACAAATTATTTGTGAAAAGAATACAAATTATCGTTTATTTCATTAATGAATATACATACATTATAAATCTTAGCTAATACATTAATTTGTTTGAGGATTTTGTTTAGGATAGCCGTCATTAATCCAAATTAGTAATACAGTTATTGTAATTAAAGGCATATCTTAGTAATGTATTACTGATATTGACGATTTTAGAACAGTTCGTCCCAACCTCGTTGTTCTTGAAACAATCTTTACTAGTATACTTGTAAGTTTCCTGACGTATAAGCGCCATTGAGGATGAGCTCCAGAGATAGCAGACTAGTAGCGTATTTGTTTGTTGGGGCAGGAGAGGCCATGCAACCACTTGTACAGATAAACAAGCTTATGTTGTCAACACTATCAGAAAGAGTTCCCATCGTCGGATGGGATATATGAAGGTTCCAAGAATAAACTATCGACATGTCTAACTCTGAACAGTTAGTAAACGGACTTAACAATGATCTATAGACATCGACCGCTTGTTCTTGATATTTGAAACTGCATGTATATATACGTTTATGAGAGTGATTATTTATCTTGTGTCTGACGAAAACTAATGCCTGCATGGTTATATCTTGCCATACGTTTGTATTGGTTTGGTGGGTGTTCACTCAAAATCGTAATTCAAAAATTGTGTTTGTGAGATGTAGATTCACTTCAATACCGAATTTCGTCTATATATTTCACAAGTGTATACCACGGAGAAGATCTGAAGGTATGTTACTCCATTTTGTTTGGGTGTGAACCATCGATGTTTACAGCAATATTTAATGAATAAGATGATGATGGTAGAAAGAACTATGAGCGTCATTTGGCAAATATTACATGCATGTCGGACCATGAGTTGTCAATCTGTATGAAAAAATTTCCAATACAACCATATTGAGTAGGAATTTTTACATGCTAAACTCTCGTTCTAGTATTACAGGGTTCTTGTGTCGTCTAACTCAGACACACATCTTTTACTTTAAGATGTATGAAAGGTTCTAAATATATATATATATATCTTAAATGTAACAATAATCAAACGCCTATAGGCAATCACTAAAATGGTATGAAGTTTTTATACAGATTTATTCTTATTTACACAATCATTAACAAACTAAATAAATTTAACAAAGTAACACCGTGACACTACGATATAACAAATGGGATAAAAATTATTTTTAACCATGCTATGCAGAAACTTAACACATCAAGCAGGAACATATATATTATATACTGTTCCCAGCATCAAGTTAGTGCACGTGAATACCAATTAGGAACACGATGTGTGATTTTGTATAACTAAAAATATCAAAGCGAGCAATAACTTTGTCAAGCAAACATTTTTTTTCACTATGCCTCTCTTTATCTCCGCTCCTTTACAATAACTATTTCGCTTTTCGTCGATCATTCTCTATATTGTTCTCTATTCGGTTAATTTTTTTTTCACTATGCCACTCTATCTCCGCTCCTTTTCCCCCTGTCGTCCTAATCCTAATAAAGATAGGGACATTAGACATAGAAGGGGCTCTCTTATCTTCAATGAATTAATATTGATAGTGACTATAAGTGCTGCATTACTTTATATATCTGCATGTTTGCCAATCGACAAAAGCTTGTATTTGCGTGAAGAATTTTTTTCTTCAAAAATATGGTCCAGAATCATGACAAAACAATATTCATTTCACAAAAATGTTCAAAGGTCATGTTTATAATTTTTTTTAAACTTATTATCAGCAAAAAAAGTGGATAATATTATTATCAGAACATCATTCATTAAAAGGTGGAATTATAATTTCAAACACACACAAGATAAACAACCTTAGACACAAATATATGGTTCAATAAATGTTACCTGTGCACACCGGGTACCTCAATAAAGAGGCCATGCATGAACCTGTATTATATAATTGTGTAATACGAATTTTTAGTTGACAGGATGTCACTGGAATACCCAGGGACGTGTATCTAATATACGTCCTTGGAATACCTAACTGAATGTGTCGCTCTGACACGACATCTATCAATAATTCTGACATACCTATTATCAATTCGGGAGGAAGCCAAAATAAATATATAATAAGATAACGTAAATAAAATTTAAATAGAAAAAAAACCTATAAATTTTTCACCGAACATACCAGATAGAGTCACACATTTAACTGTAAAGCTAAGTGTCTTTATAAGTGACCGTTCCGAAATGATCCCGTATCAATTTGATATAATTTAAAGATTAGTTTAAAAAACCCACTTTTAATAAAAAAATGAGATGTCCGATATTTCGATATTTACATATCTATAACCTGGGAATATTATACTATATCAACATATTATGTCCCAGCTAAAACCTCTTCCTAACATTGCTCCTTGTCAATAGCCGTTAAATATCATAATTAAAAAATTGTACAATTTTGTTCACAAATTGGAATTTTGTGAACGTAGTTACACTTACCTGATATCCTTACATTATGGATTATCTTTCCGGTATTTGGTCACATCTCGCTCAAAACGCTTGACTGATCAAGAATTCAAACCTCTCGGTGAATCAGTCCAAGCGTGAGAACCCCTTCAGTATTCTCCGGCGAAATCCAAACAGATTGCCAAAAGAATTACTAATGGGGAGGAGGTGGGTAGTATATCAGGTAAGTGTAACTACGTTCACAAAATTCCAATTTGTGAACAAAATTGTACAATTTTAATATTACTTGTTACACTTACCTGATATCCTTACATTATGGATATCCATAGATTCTAAAGCAGTCCCAACTCAAGCGGTGGACTGTAATTCTTTTGTTCAAATAATGTACACTATATTACACTATATACAAAGTCTAAATGTTTGACTTTAAACACATTAAATAGATGTCTTTTTCATCTCACACACAAAGGTTTAAAAACTTGCATCGCATCTCGTCGGATATGAATAGTTCCAACACTATACAAACTATATTACAAGTTAAAAAACTGTACACATTTTTCTTCTTTTTTCGAATTTTATGTATTTTTCTTCTTTTTTTTTTTTTTTTTACTTCGATAAAACATGAGGGTCTATGTGACGTAAGTAAAATTTGGTGAATGTGGATTCCCTGCTCCAATCAGCAGCTTCCATGATGTTCTTCATTGATGCACCTTTATAAAGAGCCCAAGAAGGACCAATAGCTCTTGTCGAATGAGCCTTAACAGATTTCTTTTTGTCGTTATATGCCATCTGAATGGTACTCACAATCCATGATGAAATTGTTTGACTTGAAATTGGCTTATGTGGATTACTGATTGCTAAGAACAATTTACTATCTTGTCTGTTTTCACCACGAAAATTGTCAGTGCTCTTTAAATAGTACGTTAATGCCCTTTTAGGGTCAAGAAGCTTTTCT